AATAAGGAATGCCAGTATAAAAATATAACATTAAATCCCACTACGTGAAATGCATGAAAACACAGATTGCATCGTATTTTAATTAATAATAAAAAAATTCAGATGTAATAAAGAAGAGAAACTTTGTTGAGTGACTAGTTTTTGGACTCGTTGATTCAAAGTTATTTTTATCTGCTATATAAGGTAAGTCTGGTTCCAATTTAATGGAGTATCGTTGTACACAAATATGTTATGTATAAAATGCCTTATTCGTGTATAATTGTCATTCTAAATTGTTAAATATACTACATTGTTTTATAAATTAGACTATTACCTACAAAAAGAAGAATCTATTATTAATTACAACTGTTCAGTTTTAAAAATGTTTATGCCTTATTTTATCTTTTTATATAGACGATGCACCAGATGTTTAATTCGCAATGTATTTTTTAAGTATGCCGTGTGTTTGTGACAGCAGATTAATAAAACCAAACGACTAGTATTCGATGCTAAGAAAGAATAAACTCATGTAAACAATTCTAACAGCTGATAAAGTCAAAATCTTATTCAATTCTTTGTGTCCTTTTACTGTGTAAAATTCAAGTATTTCCAGGTAACTATAAGTCGATGAAAATTCAAGGTAAGCTATTTAATAATTATTAATTATTGAATTAACAACAAAAAAAAACAATGATGAAAAGGTTCATAAAATTATTGATTGGATATATTATAGTTAAAGTTGCTTAAAACTACACTACTTATTAAAAGTAAAATCACGATTTATATTATGAGACATGCATTTATTGCATTTTAACCATTCAGTTTGGCAAGCTATTACAGATTAGTTAAATTTAATAACAGCATAAAATAAATATATTTTGCTTTGCCGAATTAAAACAATCTAAAAATTGGCTATTTGCGTAACGCCTGATATATGAAGATCTTATTCTCGATCAGTGGCAACTTTTCCTACGTTAAATGGAATGCTAAATGCATGGTAGAGTTATGTAATATAGCATAACAATCCTAAAACTAGAAAGACTCAGTCACTAAAAATGTTTCTAACGTCTGTAAGCTAACAATAGCGTAAACATTAGAACATTATTCAGCAAACATCATTTATCAATTCAATGTTAATAAATCCAAATACTGTATCCAAATTTAAACTTTAACTTCCGTGATAAGAATAAGATAGCCTTAAAGTTGTTTCAGTGACCGGATATAAGGCTCATCATTATCATTATTATTGTTAAGAAATGTAAATGAAATGAATTTGCTTCTAGCAATTATCAATAGATATATGCTTGCATAGCTAAAGCCTAAATATATTTATAACTAGCAGCTATGCGGCCAGCCTTCGTCTATCTTTTAAATCTACTGTAAAAATGCCTAAAGGGTGCACCAAGCATTGAAATTAAAAACTGCACAGAAGTTTACTCTGCAGAACAATTTTATCAAAATAAATAAATAAATAAACGCAAATTTCAATAAAAATGTATTACATATAAAAAATTACAATGAAATACTAAGCAATATCCCTTAATACAAATATTAATTATCCTAATAAATAAACCAACCAGTTTCCCGTTGTCTTCTCTCGATCAACGTCCAGTATCCAAGAGTGACATTATATTTAAACACTAAACAGAATTATCGCCCTCATTTCTCCGAGTGGCAACAGTGCTGATTTCAGCAACAACGGCAACAGCGATATATTAGCAACAATGACTGCAAACCATTGTTGCTGACATAATGAGGGAGAATTATTGATTTGATGCGATTTCATCAAAAAACACAAAATTAAAAAAATCTCATTCGAATTGAAAAATTCGCTTCGAGGTGCACTAGCTTTTGTTTAGGTCCAATAAATTAATCCATTATTTAAATTACCAAAGTGTCATTTATCTTGTAAGTTATTCTAATTGTTTCTTATCTGATAACTAGTTTATTTAACGATGTATAGCCTTCAATCTCGTAAGAACACGTGTCTTCAAAACTGAATTATTTGCTGTTTCCCTTAATTAATCATTGGACATGATTCATATACTTAATAATCTAAATGTAACTTTCGTTATGTAGTTTACCTCAAAGCCGCAATTCTTATACAGAAGCCGGAAATTCGTCACTTGAGGAATCAAGTCAAAATACATCACTTGAGGAAAAGCTCATGCCATATTTCACGAATGAATGCAAATTCTGCTTCGTTGCTTCTGTTCTTTCATAAAATAAAAACATTTACATAATTCGTCTTTGAGCTCAAGTAGTTTGAAAATTGGAAAACTAGACAGCTTAATGCGATTGCTTACATTGATTTATAATTCTTTGTATAAGCGTTTACTCAAAGAAGATACAATTTTTCATGAGAGACATATCTGCATAAAAGGAGTTAAAGGATTGCATTCTGGTAAATTTTGGATTTATTTAGCAGGAATTTATACAAGAACTCATTAAAAAAAACGTCTTGTACTGAATATACCCTTGCATTTTTTTTGTGGTGTAAAGTTTTAGCATATTGGGTAGTAGTTGAAAGATCTGCGGCTCAGTTCCCAGGTGAATACACTAATTTATTCTGCTGGCTCTCGTGCCTCTTCCTAGTTGCTCTGTGCGTGAGGAAGAATTTAAGGAGCATATTCTCTCAAACCTGGGTTCGTGGTGTAAAGAAGATCTGTGATTTATTCAGCTAGCAATTGAAAGCTATGTTACTTGAATCCGAGAGCAAACGTAATTGCGCAGTTCTTGTGCATAGTTGATTATTTTTTCGTCTGTCGCTTCTAAAATGCCTTGAAAACTTTATTTATTTGAAAGTTAAATACATAATATAACCTACATTATGATGTTTTAAAACATGTAATGTCTCTAGAATCTTATCACTCTGGCTACATACGATAACTTTTATTTGACGTTTTCATTAAATTAAAATTATTCCTTTTGTCAAGGATCTGCGAAACTGCTTTCCTGAAATCTAGTAAATAGCATGAATATTTCATATAAACTCCGCAAATCTGCATGTGGTTATTGCATAATGTTACAGAGTAGAATTTTGCCTAGGCGTTTCCATTATATTCAGAAATTTTGAGTTTACTAAAGGTGACCTTTCATAGACTGCTCTGTTGGTTAGGTTAGTTACCTTAAGTCCATTATTTTCGGATATGACAGAACTGCAGTTTCAATTGCAACATTGTCTAATAGCTGCATGAATATTTACACAGCTTATTATAATATGTGTGTTAGTTACATAATTTTTTCATGCATTATTTACATAATTTTTTCATGCATTATTTACATAATTTTTTCATGCATTATTTACATAATTTATTTCATGACATAAGTTTCATAAATCCATCAGGAAAAGAAATGCTTTGGTTAATCTTCCTGAAAGATTAAAATAAAACCGCTTTCATATAAAAGTGTAAAATGTTTTTAAATTTTTATATGCTTTTATTGAAGGTATAAGACAATTTTGTAACTGAAAGCTTTCTCGACGCATATTCGGGAGGACGGAATCTCGAATTCCGGCGAAGGAAATGTGGATTTATTCAGTTTCTGAAAATCAAAAAATTGTAAATGACTCTACAAGTGGCGCCCAAACAAAAGGTGGTGTCCCTTTGTTTGCCTCTACAAGTGGCATATTTCGCCATCAATAGGATTTGGCGCCTGTGTCTCCTAATCCCTAGTCGCTTTTTAAAAACGGGGAGTATCTAAGGTATTTTCTCCGTTTTTTCCGCATGCCTTCGTGGTGTAACTAGAAGCATTCTCGACGCGTATTCGTGAGGTCCGGAGTTCGAATCCCCACAAGGCAATGCACATTTTTCACGTTTCCAGCGTAGGATAATTCGTCACCACCATAATTTGGCGACTGGGCCCCGTCATCCCCAGCCTTCCTTTAAAAGGGAAATAATATAAAGCATTTTCTCCCTCCTTCCAACACGCTTCCGTGGTGTAACGGTAGCACATTCGGAGACGTGTCTCCTAAGAGCTGTTTTCACAGGAAAACAGCAATGAAATTACAATACGACGGTGAAGTTAGCCATGGGACTAAAAGTAGTCTTTTTTCATTGTTCAGTTGTTCAGCTGAATGAGAGACAAAAGAAACAATTAATGTGCTGTTCTTTTATTTTAATATGGAACATCCTTTTTCTGGGTTTTCGAATTTCGCAGCTGTTCGGTGTAGATACGTATATACATTGTTACATTATACCGTCACGCATACTGATATACATTACTTAAGTATAAATATTCTTGGCAATTGACTATTACTCATACACAAACAGAGTAATATTGCACAATATATGATACAATTATCCGCACACGTTGAAGAGGCCAACTTTGTCCAAAAATGCTCATTATTGATTCATTGGATAGATTGTTTATCTAGCTTAAAACGTGTTTGCGTTTTTTAACGTTCATTAGATTTATGAGTTTTATTATTATATTAAGTATTTCGTAAAGACGCGAAAACCGGAAATAGGCATTTAAACCGCGAAAAATGCGTATTCGAAAAGCAGAAAACCGTCAAAAATGAACATAAATAGTTTTTTCCTTGAAATATAGTTATAAAGGTTTTTAAAGAGAGCAAGTTAAAAGAATCTTATCTCTAATTTGTGAGGCGATTAATTAAAATAAAATGCAATATTGTTTTTGTTTACATGTTGAAAATGTGTGTTTCTCGCTATTGTATGATTTTGAAAGTGATTCGAAACATGTCATTCGTATCATTTATGCGTTCATCGATGGCTGGAAAACGCTAGCCATGTCTGTAGTTACTGCGGTTGCAAAATCTATACACATATAAGCAAACTTTAGACATTCTGCCTTCAAAAGTAATGTAACTTAATTAACTCTTCTTGCATAAAGCCGAAGTTAAAATTAGCAGTGGAAATTTGCTTTAAATTATTTGATCTGTATGCTTTGTTCGAAACCAAAATATACAAGAACTTTATAAGTGTAATGAAAACACATCTATATAGTAACATAGGAACATATATTATGTGATATTCTGAAGGATTTTATTCATATTTGGGATTTTATACAATTTTAGCTCCAGGGTGGATTTTTCGTTCATGTCTATCCTGTAGTTAAGGTTAGAGTCTTCAACTATTTAATATTGCTGACGCTAAAAAAAAGTGAAATTTTTTGTGTATATAACGACTATTATATAATATAATATATAAGAACTATTTTAGTTATTTACTATATACAGCTAAACTAAATTGAAATGAAATCGAATATAGCAATACATGCTCAATAATAGAGCAATAACAAATCAGTTTGTTAAAAAATAATTGCTATCAAATAAAGATATATTTTGCAAACATTAGTATATGGGATATAAATTTTATGCTTGAAAAACTTTCAGAAATGTATTTATCGAGGGCCTTTTTTCTTAATAACTTTATATATGGAGAAGAGTAAAATAATAAAATAAAACAAAGTGACGACATATTCCATGGCAACTAGTTGCTTATTATAAAGAGACAACGATGCATGGCAGACTTATTGCTATAGCAACTCCCGTGGCTTCTACACTTATAAGACAGTTTCAAATCTATATTTTTACGTTTAGTATTTCTTGAATTTTATGAAAGAAAGCATATAAACTGCATTATACTAAACTGAGGTCCGCTCAAGTAAAAGCTCGTAAATGTATTATTTTAACGCATATATTTGTTTCATATGCTCTCTCCTGTTATAGCATTAGAATAAATTTTCGAATTTTATGACGTAACTATGAAATCCTGTTATAGTTATTAAATTCAGCAGTAGATTGTGGAATGAAACGCTTCATTGCTCTCGTTTTCATTGATCGTGACTACAATCTACTCGAGGAGGATGTCCCACGACCGATTTGAAGTGCCGTTAGTAGGCAAAGAAACTTCAGCCTGTGCTGTTTAAATCGCAGGAAAATCTCATATCCTATTTGGGATTCCAAATTGAGGCCAATGATTTGGTAGCACACTCAATCTTACATAATCACCAAGAGTTATTACACTACCAAGAGTTATTACATTAAGTATCTACAAGGATAATTGTAAGAAAATATTTGTCTGGAATTTGGTAGTTAATACAGCACTTAATTTATGCAGAATGGCGATCAATACTCAGCTTAATAACATATGCAGATGTTTTTCTGATAGTGATTTTGGCTAACAGAATTAAAGTTGAAAACCGAAACCTGCTTAACATATTTCAATGTATGAACCATACAGATAAGATAAAAGTTTTGGCAGCCGATACTCGAGTATTGTTAACAGGCGAGAAGAAAGAATATCGCGGCAAAATTAGCCTCAATTTTCATGGTATGTTTATAAAATTTATTTAACAGATGTGTACAGAAGAATAACCTAGGCATCATTCTGGGCAACAGACTCACGGATCCCGGACCTGTGTTATTTAAAGTGGATATTTTGTCCAGTGTGACACGCTGTAGAACAACAGCTAAGTGGCGAATTTTTCTAAGACTTTTCTCAATATGCGAATGAGATGTCTGCTTCCCACCTTAAAGTTTACAATTATTACTCATATTGAGGGCAAAACATACCTCACACGTCAGCTGCAACGTTGGATATCGTAACCAGAAGACTGTTACTATACTGCGTAATATAACAAGAAGTTACATTAGCATGTGTTCGTAAACTAGATAATAATCAAGTCTGGCACCAAATTTTTATTTCTATGAGAAACTTATGTCTGTGTCACTAAATAAACCACAACATAGCTTAAAATAGTATCCAAAAATATATCCCAGTCAGAATGGCATGCTACATGGAAAGCTCAAAACGGTATAAGAAATAGGCTGTCAATTTTATTTCAAGAAAATGGAGATAACACAGATGACAAATACAGAGATTCATGCAGCTCAGTGTTTCAAGCGACATTTGACTCTCATAGAAAAGAGAGATTATTAGGCATGTTGAATAACATAAACCAACCGCAATTATCTACACCAACTCAATGTTCGGCACTAATGGCACGCATGATGAATTCTTTGGTTAGATTAGATTAAGTTATTTGAACACCGCAAACCACACGAGGACTTACTGCCGAAGGAAATGGATGCTTTTGAGGGGAGGAATGTTTTGAAAGAAACTGCCTCATATCGACATCACATATGAGAAAACCTAGAGGTGCAAGTCGCCTGTTTGCCTGTGCTGGAACTACCAATATTTGGTCACTAAGGAAACTTTTGGTGCAACATATACAAACAAAATCTAATCGAGACAAGACTTATATCTAACGTAATCAAACAAACTGAACCTTAGGCTACTAAGGAATTACGAGGAGTGAACCCACCTACCAAAATAAGCAGCAAGTGATGCAAGAGAATTTCTAACGTCATTGCATTCCACTCTCCTAAAAGTAGAGTATCTTACTCACAAAATGACACGTTTAATAAAATGATCTTAACAATAGATGTTTAATATAATAGTCACCGTTTGATATTAAAGGTAAGTACAACATTATTTAGCTCGAAACTCTCACAAACTGAATTCCTAAGGAGGCATTGTTACTACTTCTCATAACACCGCGGTTTCGGGTATAGCTGTTCAGATATTTCTAGGTATGGTGGGATCGCTGCGTTTACTGTTTCCAATGCAAGAAGGAGTTCCATCTTCGACAAACAGGTGCCATGATTTAGAACAACGCAATGCATAATATAAGAGCACTTTGAAAGATAGAGCAAAGAGCTAAATACTGTTCTGACGTGCATAATGTAATATAGTATCGCGCTGAGTCTAATTGATGCACTCTGTGACGATGAAGGCAAGTATGCTATATACATTTGGATTAAATTTACCATACTTTCCAGCGAATTCTTATTATTTTCTTAATGTTTGCAATAATACTCGTATAATTGGATATCATGTGTACTAATTGTAACAATGTGCAGTGTTTCAATAATGCAAGGCAGCGGAAAACGTTATGGAGCCAAGGCATTAAAGTATCGGTGATTCTGTAAAATATGATGTTGTTGTTGTAAACTGTTGCAATGTAGTGTTTGCTAGTATTTAATATTCGGTAGAATATTCATAATGAAATGCATTATATTTTGCAATATAATGAATGTTTTCTAATGCCTAATGTTAAATAACGTAATCACCGTGAAGACATACATTTATGTCTGGTGGTGGTATGTTGAGTTACGGCAAAGCACACGAGAGCTATCTGCCTAAGGGGAGGGATGCATTCGTGGAGGACTTTCTAAGGAAAACTGGCTCGTATACACGTTACACATTAGGAAAACCACGAAAACACCCATGCAGCCAGCCCGTTCGCGGGATTCGAACCTCGGACCGAACTACCAGTGTTCAGCGACTTTTACCGCTTGGCCGCTGGTGAGCCTATTTATGTCTGAGCCCTGTGACATTATTGCGCTACCTTTCCTTATTAAAACTAATTTCGAAAATGTTGGAATTTTTTTATAATTTTTGTGATACATCTGACTGCAACGTACTGTCATGTAACATTGTTAGTAATGCATTGTTTATAATGTCATGTAACATTGTTAGTAATGCTGATAACGTACGTGATGTACGAGTGTGTTACAATGTCTCGAAAGAATTCTGCCGAGATAGAAGCTGAATTTCCTTTCGGCAGTACCTTTCAGATCGAAGGCCAAAGTACAGAGTGATTCGTTAGCTACCTTCAGTAATCCTCGTACTGTCCAAGATATTTTGTACAGTAACAATGCAAGCAATAAAAGGAGAATAATGTAATGAAATTTCTTGCCGTGTCATAGATTCAAATAGAAAAAGGGAGTGGCTACAACAGATGGTTTCGACAAAGTTACAATGATTTCTGTCCTCAGTATGAAAAGTATGTAATTACTGTAACTGTCTGACACTTCTGCCTTCGACAGTAGGAAAGAGTACAAGAGTATTCATCTTTAATAAACGGATAATTACATAGGTGCGCTTTATTTTACAAAACAGAAAATAAAAGATATTTTCCTCATTAGTTGTGAGGCAGTTGACTTCTTTTTAGGAAGCTATATTTATATTTTTTCTTCAAAGGCGAAATGAAAGAAAATGTAATTTTCCTTTGGGAAAATCTTAAATTAATTGCATTTATTAGATTCTTGAAACTCATTATATGCTGATGCTATTTAAATGAGCAAAGCACCATTTTTCTTGCTTTCAAAAATATCTTAATGCAGACGCGCAAAAATAATTTGTAAAACGGAAAGTCAGTTAACTTGTTTAGCACTTTGGCAAGCAAATATTATATTAAATGATAAATTGTTTGACGGTGAAGCCTTCATTGAAAACATACGTTAAGCTGTTAAGTAATTTTGTTATTATTTCAGAAAATTTTACATGCAAATATTCACAATATTATTTAATATTACTATTTGTTTTAGCCAATTTTACATAAAATATGAATTTTAAATATAGATTTATAAAGTGAACTTATAATATAATTTGTTATTTACAAGAATCATTCTCTCTGAATGGAATTAGAAATCTATCTTAAATTATATAAACTGTATTCAAATTTTTAATTATAGTACGGAAATTTAGCGCAATATATTTTAATGATATATGAAATGATTAATATTTATTCAAAATATAGATGTGTTTTAAATTCAAATTGAGTGTAATCAGTTTCTTTGCACGATGACAGTTTTCAAGGTAAAATTTATGAAACTTCATTTACATGAAAGACAATTTGTGATCAGAGACTTTTTTTTTCTCTCGTTAAGTAGTTAAGTTTTGTTTAATAGTCCAAGTAAAATAACTCCAAAGATAGGCTATAATCATACAGAAGTATTTTTTAGTTATTAGCATTCATTTAATTATCCTTAAAATCGAAAACAAAAGTTATGTACTTCATCTGCTGAACATATGCAATTTCTCCATCATAAAATATCAGTGGAAAGTTTTTAAATTCTATTACATGAAATCAGTAATTGCTCAGACACATTTAGTATTCAAAACAAACATGAGATTTCTTTGTTTCTCGAAAAAAGTTCTTATTCTAGCAACGAGAAATTTTATGATATACTTTTCTTTTTGCTACTTAATTTATTTTTTTTTCTTATGCATCAAGCTGAACTGATGTTGAGATAACCATTGCTGATACAAAGTGGTCATATAAAGTATCATCTTGCATGGT